GTGGGATGATGCAGGGGTCCCGGAGCCGCGCATCCCCTGTCAGGTTCCAGAGGAGCACTGGGGTGGGGGCCGACGGCTCCGCGCAAGGGCCGCGCAGCTGCTACACGCGCAGGGTAAGGGGGCCCGCGGTGTGGGGAGCCCACCCTGCGGAAGATCCGCGTCCCGAGGAGATGCGGCCTACTCCGGACTGGCTGGGACCTCACTCCCAGCCCCTCCGAGCTCCGCGCAGCCCCTTTCCCCGGGGCGCAAAGAGAGGCCACTTCTCCTCGGCCACCACACCCGACTCGGTCTCGGTGCGCTCCCGCCCTGTGCCAGCGCTCTCGCCTCTGAGGCCTATCCACGAGGTCTTAAACAACAACAGCAACCCCAACAACAGCACAAAAAGGCCCCCTCAAAAAATTAATAATCCACAGAGTCATTAGAATCGGGAATCCAATAAACCCAGAAGGTGGCGAGAAGCTGCACGTAACACGTAGCGGCTTTTTCCTGTCCAGCTCCCACCGCAGAGAAGGTAGGCACGCAGCCGGGTCCTGGGCCACGAAGTGGGCCTGGCCCAGTGTCCCCAGAGCCGTGGCAGCGCTCTCGGCCCCTTCCCCGCCGCCCTCGGAGGTGCCCGCTCCCCGACGGGGCGGGCGGGCGCTCCCGGCCCCTGCTCCCCGCGGAGCCGCCTCCCTCCCCGGCCCGGCCTGAGCCCTCCGCCCCGCTCTGCCGGCCCGCCAAGGGGCGCGGAGTCACTTACTGTTCTGCATGTTGGGCTGATAGAGCAGTATCCCGCGGGGGTCGCCTATAGCAGTCTATCAGTGACAAAATAGGCGTTAATCAGGGGAGGCAGTGCACACAGTTAAGCTGCAGAGAGGCTAATATCTCACCGGCTAACTTTGTTATCCTTAGGCATCTTCCCCCGATTCGTTTAAGGATTTGGGGGCTTTATAATACCTCAAGGCAAAAATGTTCATATGTATCCCTAACTCGAAGGGGAAAAAAATTAAGAAAAGAAGCCCGCCAAGTGGTTTCTCATTTTAATTGCATGCAGGTGGCGTATTGCCTCGTCGTTAGTGCTCTTCGCTGAGGTGGTGTATTAAGTGGAGCGACAACAATCACAAAGAGAGTCCGAAGTCATGTTTTTAAACTTGCCTGAAAGCGGGGTGGACTGTCCTCTCATACAATTTAGGGACTCGCACATCTGCGTGTCACTAGTTAAAGTCTTCCCTCTAGGACAAAGCAGAAGAAGTACATTAAAAAGTGTGCAGCGGAGCCGGGAAGGTGTGCGGGGCGGCGGGACGCGGCCCGGGGGGAGCGCAGCGCTGCGCGGGGGCTGCGCGGGGGCTGCGCGGGGGCTGCGCGGGCACCGGGGACGGGGGGGATGGTGGGGGGAACCCTCCGCCGGCTGCCCTGCGTGCTGGGAGCGGGGCTCCATTTTTACCTCCGGGTATTTCCTCGAGTTTGGTTTTTTGTTGTTGTTGGGGTTTTTTTTGTTTTGTTTTGTTTTTTTTCCCCCTTTCCGCGCGGCACTAGCAACTTTTTCTCCCCCAAACTCCCCGTCTTGTGATTAACTTCTTTTTTGGTCTTTAGATCTTCCCCTTTTTCACTGTACTGTGACACACGCTGTCTACCTCGCCTCACTGCTTTAAAAAGTAAGAACAGGAGGGGGTGAGAACTGTTAAACAAAGCCTACAGAAAGCGAACAATGGCCTCCATTCTGCTCCTCTACCCAAACCCCGAGTGCAGAAACCCGGGCTCCTTAACCGGCCGCGCAGCTTCCCAACTCAACGGACCAACAACCCTCCAACTTACAAAGAGCAGAGAAACAAGCCCCTTCTCCCTTCATTAGTGCCTGCCTTGACCCAGCGCCTGGACAGTCCCCAGCGCCTTCCCCCCCCACACACCCCCCCGCTCCCTCGCTCGCTCCCTCCCTCCTTCCTTCCACTACTCCCTCTCTCCTCCTCTCGCCACCTTCCTTCCCTCCCTTCCTTCCCTCTTCCCCCCCCGCCACCCCCCGGCCCACTTATTTATTTATTTATGCATCCCCATGTATTTATTTGAAATCGTCGCGGGTGAAAATGGAAAAGTAATTTCTCGTTATAAATATCTGGCGGTAATTGTGTTACTGGTGCGAGTTGTTAGGGGTTGTAAAAAGATACAACAGCTCAGTGGGGTGCTCAATTGGGGAGGGACAATTACAATAAAGAGCCCATTCAAGGGGGTTGCTAAAAAAAAAGGAGGTAAAATAATGAAATAGTCGCAGCCTTCATTTTCTCTCCCTTTTTTTTCGCCTAAAAATACTCATTCTCTTTCTTTTGCGCCTATAATGAATATTAATTTTACTCTTCCTGCATATGATGGAGAAATCAAAGAGGCACGTTTCCCCATTCAGGACTAGCCATGGTATAATTTATTAAGTAGCTTTTAGTAATCTTAAATCCATAAAAATAAACATCAAACAAGTACTTTCTCGCAGCGTGAAGACTTTAACTGGTAAATATTTACTGCTCTTTGGAGAGCTACCTGATTAGCAGCAGAGCAAGCTACACTGTACTTCAATGGAGACGTGGTGATATCTCCTTCAGCTGAACTGAACGTGAAGTCATCCCTTTAATACACCGAACACGTCTGCATAGACACACACCGAACGGGAAACCCACCACTCCAGACACAATTTCCTCCCATATTTCATGCACAAATCATAAACGCGGGGCCTACAGGGTGAAAGAAGCCATCCGAAAAGGCACCAGCAAACTTCCAGCTCTCAGCCCTGCCAGCACGAACCTCAGAAATGACACTGAGGGGGTTTAAAAGAAAAAGGGGGGGGGGGGGGGGAGAAAGAGGGGGAAAAAAATAAAAAGCCGCGAAACAAAACAAACCCAAACACAGCCGAAAGCGGTTTACAATAGAGGGCGAGGGTAACCAAGGTCTTCAGCAAGGTAAGAGGAGACGTGGGGCAAGGAGCTGCGTGTCTGCTCAGCAATTCGCCACCGCCTCCAGCCAGCGGCCCGGCAGCCCCGGCCAGGCCCCGCAACCCGAGCGCGAAATCTCCTTCTCCTGCCGTGCCCCGCAGCACCCCCTGCACCCCCGGGACGCAGCCGGCTCCCTCCGACAACTGGGATGCAATTTGCAGTGCCCAAATAGGCCGGGCCTAATCTGCAACCTGGTTTTTAATCTCGAAATCTTCATATAATCTCGTGGCAGAGAGCATTTTTTCCCCCTCTCCCGGTGAAACTGTCATTAGACGTTTAGGGCAAAGTTTCGCGTTCCCGGGGCAAACGCGAAAAAGATAAAAACGAATCGGTTAGCGATGAGTTGTTGGTGAAGGTCAGTAGCTATAAACATTTATTGTCAAGGGCCACTTTTATTATTTTATGCCCCTAAGATGGAGAAGATGCAGTCACTTTTCTTCTCTAGTATGTTGTTGTCGTTTTCCAAAACAGCCTCTGCGAGGTACATTGAATGATTTGAAAAAGTTTGTTTTTAAACTTTCCAGAAATTATTCCTGGTCTGCGCGCCCATGTAACCCCTCCGTGCAAAGCATTACAAGGTTAAATTCAAACCCAGATTTTCTTTTTGCAATTGCACTTGCTAGGGGAAAAAGGAATCAAGTTTATTGTTGCGCTTCGCTGGAGCAAATTTTTTTTCTTGCATGGCGAAGAGTTTACAACTTCTTAAAAATTAAAAAAAAAAAGCTCTGCTGTAGTGAGAGATCGCATAGGTGGATAAAATGGTATTTCTCTTGTAGAAATAAGAGATGGTAAGGGTTTTTAAATTAAAAAAAAAATAATAAAGCACGTCGATTTAAAAAAGGAGTAAAAAAATTCCCCAAAGCGGGAGCAGGGCGAGCCCCGGTGCCGAGCAGGGACGGGGCGCCCGGCGGGGCC